GGTGCAATGGTGTTTTCCATTTTGTCTTCAAGTTCCTTAATGATGCCCAGCCTTTCACTAACTTTTTTGGTTACTGCTGCACACTGTATGTGGTTCTCTAAAAACACCAGCTCAATGATTCCAAGGTCATTCCTAAGTTATAACAGCTAGTGCAGAACCCAATTCTGTGTATGCAGAGTTGATGTTATTTCTCCATGTGTATATTACACTTCTCAATACTGAAGTTCAGCTTGGGACTTGACTACCCGGTATAGTTTTGTATCTGCAAACTTGGGAGACTTCACAGCGCACCTGTCTTTCTGAGTCATTGATGAAAGTGTTGAACAAAATAGGGCCCAGCACTGATCCCTATGAGACACCCTTTTAAACTCCATCCATCCTGAAAATGTGGCCATTTGTTTCCCATCTTAACTGGCTCTCACTTCACTAAAAACTCCAAGCCCAGGGCAACAGGGATTTGTTTGTTTGAAGCCTTTGCTGAAGGACCTTATCAAATGCTTTTGAAAATCCAAATATATGCTGGAACCTTTTTGTCTTCAAAGAACTCCAACAGAGACAATAGGCAGGATTTCTCTTCACAAAAACCACACAGACTCTTCCCCAAAAGATCATGTTTGTCCATGTGCCTGTTTGTTTTTAGTCATTATTATAGATTCTACCAATACACTATGGATGAAAGCGAGATTGGTATGTAGTTCCCAGGATCACCTCTGCAGCCTCTTAAAGGTGGGTTTTATTTTAACTATCTGCCAGCCCTATGGCACAGAGGCCATTTGTAACAAGGTATGTGCTACTGCCAGTTCTGCAGTTTCAGCTTTGACTTCCTTCAGAACGCCCAGGTAAATACCAGCCAGACTTACTAGCATTTATTTATCAATTTGTTCTAAAACATTTGTTATCATTTCAGTGTGGTCTGTCTCTTCAGACCCAACTCCTAGGAAGGACTAATCTGTCAGGAAGTTCCCCAGGGTCTGCTAAAGGCTGATGGAAATAATTTATTTAGCTTCTGTTATGGCCTCATCATGTGTAAATCTACATTTTCGACATTGGTCATCTAAGTCACAGATTCTCCTAGCTGACTTCCTGCTTCTGATGTATTTTTAGAGTTATTAACTTCAGCCTGTTTTGAAAGTCTCACCCCTTGAACAACTGCTTTTCTAAAGTTCCCTGCATATTTTAAGTGTTAAAATTTGTTCCTGGTCTATCATTTTCGTAGTGTAGTTAAGAATCTATTTTGTGTGTTTTATAGAACGCAGATAAATCCTCTTCTAGTTTATGAAAGGTACTGCACAAAATTAATAGTGGAACTAGAAGCTTCAGAGAATTGTCATGGGGGCATACGGGGGGGGGGGGGGG